GACATTCTTTTCTTATGTAATTAAATTCCAAAATATCTAATGGATTTTTATATTTCCTTATTCTCTTACGTAATTTTAATTTCTGGTTGAGCATTTTTTTAAGTTGATTAGAATACCAGGCTGGATATTTCCCACGGAAGTATACTGTTTCGGGTACATGTTTTTTTATAATATTTCTAAGTATCGTGTAAAACCTATCCACCATCACATTGACACCCAGATAAGATGAAAACTCATTAGACCAATTAATTTTGCTAAGTTCTAAGTTTATTGTTTCATAGTCAGCCTTATAATAGTTAAGTTTTGTCACCTTTTTTGTATCATTTTTAATATAAATCGGAACTTTTGGCGAAAATACTAAGGCTGGGTGATATTTATCTGTTTTACGGATAGGATCGATACAATCTGTAACTTTTATTTCCTCAAAATCTGAGAATATTAAATCAAGCATTTTATTATTACAATTTTTTATACTGTTGAATTGTTTTAAATTATTTAGGGAAATAAAATTTAGTAATTTATTTTTTAAGTTACTACTGTTACTTGTAGAAGCCATATACGAGCCATCGTTGCTGTCACGGATCCAATCTATACAACTCAAATTAAAGTCACCAATTATCAGTGTGTAACTATCACTATTTGAATCTATAACTGAATTGCAATTTTCTATAAAATTTTCTAAAATCTCTGCATTTACTGGTGGAGGAAGATAGGTACCACAAACTTTCAGCGACTTCAAAGTCGAATTCAAAGGAGTTTCAATGACCCACAAGTCTTCGCAGTCACTCTCCCATTCTGACATGCGACATGACCTAAATTTATTGGACACAGCTATGAGCATGCCACCACCAGTTTTTTTTTGGGTGCTAAAACTAGAGGTCTCGCGGTCTCTTCCGTATACACTAAAATTATTACAAAAAATTTCAGCATCGAAAATACCACTACAAAGCCAAGTCTCAGTCAAGACATAGACATCGTATTCACTATTATGTATATGTTGACGCACCTCAGATAAACTGCTGCGCAGACCTCTTGTGTTTTGGTAATAACATTTAAAAAAAGTGAATTTCAAAGACAAATCAAGAGAACATGCTTATAACAAAAATAGGAAGTTTAATGTCAATGCTATCTCCGGAATCCCCCCGCTGCCACTCCATCCCTGGGCCTTCCACAAGCTCTGTAGTTGGCGCTCGCCTACTTCCTTTTCTTCGTTCGCCTGACAGGGCGCGGGAAGACGCCGGACTCGGCGTTCTGGAACGCAGAAAACTGGGCGTGTGCGCCCCGGGTAACGTGCCCGAACTCGGACACCTCTGTGCAGAACCCCCAGAATACGGTGGGCTGAACACTACGATCTCAACCGGAGTGCTGAGGGCTCCGACCGTGGCGCGGTCGGTACCCTCCTGGGGTAATTTATTTTTCTTAGTCGCGTCCATTATTATTTTGCTGTGTTTGCCCTAGCAACTGGGATCCCCCCCCCCCCCCCCCATATGACGCTGTGGTTTGGGCTTTGAAAGGCATTAGAAGTTAATGATAGTAACAATACCACATTTAGGAAAACAAAGGTGAGATAATTAAAAAAACTGTCATCAAATTTATTCATTAGGGTTTTTTCTTAAAGGTTTGAAGGTCGTTTTCGGCAGTTGATCAATACAATGGGATGTCCTCAGGGATCGGTGCTAGGTCCATACTTGTGGAATATCGGCTTCGACGATTTTCTTACGATACCAATACCATCCGGATGTACTCTGAACGCGTATGCTGATGACGGCTTATTACTGGTGGAATCTGATACTAGGGCGGGGCTTGAGAGATTAGCCAATAGATGTTTGAACTTGATATCTCAATGGGGTGAACGTAATCGCTTAACTTTTGCACCCAACAAAACCTTCCAGTTACTTTTAAAAGGTAACCTCAAATCACCGCCGAGCATTAGATTTGACAATGTTACTGTAAAAAATAAAACCACAGTGTGTTATCTAGGATTAGTTTTAGAAAGAAACTTTTCATTTATCGAACATATTAAAATAGTTAATGAAAAGTCTAAAAAGAGTTTCTGTGCATTGACAAGGATATCAACTGCGACATGGGGTCTATCATTTAATACATTAAAGATCATATACGGAGCTACTTATTTAGGTTCTATGTGCTATGGTGCACCTGTATGGGCCGATAGGGCGACCGTAGGCGCTGTCCGTCGCAAACTGTTACAAGGCCAACGACTTGCACTGATATTTTTGTGCAAGGCATATAGGACGGTTAGCACTGAGGCTTTGCCGGTGTTGGCGGGTGTCCTTCCGGTCGATCTCGAGGTGCAGAGACGTGCAGCCATGTACTATTCAAGACAAACCATGGAATGCGATTTCTTGGGCGCGCGGGATCGCGGTAAAATTACAAGATTGCTTCAACAGCAGTCCGATGTCTATAATGACCTCATAGACGAATGGCAGCAACGCTGGGACGAATCATCCAAGGGGTGCCATCTTTACCAATTTTTTCCATCTGTTCGCGAACGGTTGTCGAGGACATGGCTTGAGGTGGATCACTGTGTCGCTCAATTTCTTACGGGTCATGGTAACTTTAAGAGCAAGTTGTATTCATTTAAATTAGTCGAGTCACCATTGTGTCAATGCTCAACACCTAACTCTCATTATGAACAGTCTGCTCATCATATCCTCTGGGAATGTAGTCTTTGGTATAATGAACGTAATATAATGCTGAATAGCTTGCAGGTGACATCTGGGGCGGTATACTATGGGGATCTTGTGTCAACTAGGGTGAATTTCCGTGCGTTTAGGCGATTCTGCCATACATATTATAGAAATCAAATATAGCTCATGTAGGACCCGTAATATTTTGTGGCCGTGGTGCTTCCCTGTTTAAAAGGGTGTATGCCTATTTTACTTCATTTTGTCTCCCGCTTTGCTAAGGAGGGAAGTGGATTTACTGTATTTCCAACTCCTCCAATTTTCTTCTGATTAATTTCGTTGCGGGTTCCAAGACAGTTTAATTTCTTCCTGGGACTTCCCGAGTGTCATAACTCGGTGTGTTCGTGGGTCACTGCTGTGGATCCTGGTGTACAGGAGTTACAGTGGTGGGCGTGTGGGTGGGATTAGTCCCAAAAAAGTTGATCAATACTTAAATGTTCCAGTGGAACGGTGATTCGGATGTCATAGAACGTAAAGAGTTAGTTAACCCATGTTTTTGTTTACATTACAGCACGTGGATGTTGTGACGTCACTAAATAAAGTACATCGTGTCACAATTACATTCGCAGATTAAAATAAAATAAAATTTAATTTAATATATTTCAAAAGGTAACAGTATCAGGCTTCTAATGACCGACCATTAAAAGTCTGTTTTTGTCCTTCACTTTTTACTATTAACCGAGTAAAGGAATGTTATAGCAAAAAGCCGAAGGTGTCAGGATCAAGTCAGCCGTCACGCAAAGTAGTAATCTTTACCTACGGTACTAATGACAATAACCGCTAATATAGGGTGATACACTTGTTCACCTTAACTAAAACGTTTCTATAATAACTATTTTTTTTTAATGTTAGAGGGGGCAGACGAGCAGACGTCCCCTGATGGAAAGCGACCAGCACCGCCCATGAACGTTTGCAACTCAGGAGTCACAAACACATTGCCGGCCTTTTAGGAAGGAATACGGTCTTTTCTTAAAGGTTTGAAGGTCTTCTTAAAGGTTTTATTAAAGGTATGCAGAAGAAACAGTGTGGGTGATAGCACACAGCCTTGTGGGATACTTGCATTTACGAATTTCAAGTCAAACCTTGCACCGTCGACAACTACCTTAACGCTTCTGTCCGCAAGGAAACTGGTGACCAAACTACATAATTTCTGAGGAAGGGAGCTTCGAGAGAAGCGCATTATGCCAGACCCGATCAAAGGCCTTCGCTATGTCCAAACTAACCGCACAAGCCTCTCATTTGGTCTCGATCGTATGTGCCCACCGGTGTGTTAGCAAGACGAGAAGATGACCAGCTGAGCGACCCCGGCGAAAACCATATTGTCGGTTATTGAGGAGCTGGTGATCATCTAAGTACCGGAGGAGCTGGCTGTTGATAATGAATTCCATAATCTTAGAAACCAAAGGAGTAATGCCGATAGGCCTGTAGTTGGACGGGTCAGAGTGGTCACCTTTTTTAGGGACCGGGTACACAAACGCTACCTACCAGAAGTTACCAAAACGACGCCTTGGAAGTAAAAGAGACGAAAAAGGAGCGTTAAAACCGGTGCCAACACCGGAGCACACGTCTTCAACACGATAGGAGAGATTCTATCGGGCCCACACGACTTATGAACGGAGTGCTTTACGCACTGATTTTTGTGTGAATCGGATATCCGGCATATAGCTCTGGAACCGCGGTATGGTCGGCGGTACGTTTCCCCCGTCATCCAAAGTCGAGTTGGATGCAAAGAGTTTTCCTAGGAGATCGGTTTTCTCCGTGGCCATCATAGCCCAAGGCCAATTTATCTCCAATGAGGTCGTCATCCGTCGGTCGCGGTGTGCAGACGTGTAGCGAAGTGTCAAGTGAACTGTGATAAAAATCCTTCTCGAAAATTTGTGATTGGTCTATTAGGCGGAACACAATTCCCGTTCTAACTTTAAGTGCTTTTACGGATTAGCTCCTCCCCCGGAGCAGGATAGATATAATTGTCATCATTACCACGAAATAAATTTTAAAAACTCTTTCGTGACTGGCTGTATATCTGAAGTCGTCGTGGGGATCCGAACCGCCTAACGAACTCGCCCGTCGGGAGTGGTGGAGAACACAACGAGCCATAGCCACAGTGTTGAGCAGCTGCGAAATAGGTGAATGGTAACTGTGTATGCGCTACGACGGGTCGTGCGAGTGACGTCGGCAGGCTACGAGCCGGTAATAGCTAGGCTACGCGCTACGGGCGGTGTGTTTGTGACGCGCTGTGCCAGTGACTTTAGAACGGTGTAGTGCGTGTGCGTTATTGACTACACATAAACAAGCATGTCAAAATGCAAAGGATGCGGTAAATACATAGCACAAAAAGACATTACTAAATGTTCTAAATGTCAGAACTATTACCATCGCACATGTGCGCTCGCGGCTACACCAGGGGTTAAATCTGTCTCGCCAAAATGGATATGCGCGGGCTGCAATGTTGTCTTAGCAACCCCGCCAGCTGTGGCGGAGGCATGTGTGTCACCGCAGCCGAGTAATTCACACGGCGCCACGGCAAGTAACAACTTGCCTAGGGATTGCAACCCAGCACAAACAGTGGATGTAAGCTTAATACTTAAAGAGATTCGTATCTTTCGTGAAGAGATTAATGCTTTGATATCGGAATTGCGTGAGTTTAGAGAAGAGATGTTAAGCCTTCAAGCAGGTAATAAGATGTGCAACGATAGAGTGGATTTACTGGAGAAGAGAGTTGCTGCCTTAGAGGAGAAATCGGATCAACATTTGTATCCCGACCTCACAACATTAGAGACAACCGTACGCGATTTAAAACTTAAACTGAATGAGCGTGAACAGGAATCCTTGTTAAATGACATAGAGGTTTCTGGGGTACCCGAATCGAATGGTGAAAACGCAAAGCAAATTATAAATATGATTTCCATCAAACTCGGCATTAAGTTGGAGGAACGGGCAGGAAACGGACGTCGTAATTATGAGGAAAGCGAAGAAAAGGCGCCTCGGCCGCGCGTCATTGTCGTCCGCCTTACGCGCAGCACAGCTACAGCTTCTGCGCAGCGCTCGGGTACGACGTGGCTTGACCACGCAGGATATACAGTTAGCTGGGACTCCACGCCGAGTTTATATAAACGAGCGTTTAACGCAAGTTAATAGAAAACTATTTCACAAGGCTCGAGAGGCTGCTATGCACCATAACTATAGGTACACCTGGACCAAAGAGGGCTGTATATTAACTCGGAAAGAAGACGGAAAACCCGCGAAACGTATACGATCCGAGGATGATATTTTTCAGATTTTTGGATGACTTACAGTTTGTGCCGAGTTAATTTAATTAAGATAGTTGAGTGTCAAATGTTATATAGGTACCAAGAACTTTACATTATAGCTTTAACTTTTGTAAAATACTCATCTTCTACTATGTTTATATACTATCTTGTTTTATCTTTTTAATTTATGTACGTGCTTGTTTATGTGGATTACGTGAAATAGTTCCTAGGCTTATGCTATCTATCCTATTTAAACATAAAAGCGCAGCACAAGGGTGTACTCTGTACATGAATAGTTTTCCTGATCTGTTCAAGTTAATAAAAACTATATATACTACTATATTTTTCTATACACGTAAATCAAATCTATCTAGCATATTATATTTATATTTATGTACATCTGGTACAGTTATAAGAACAATAAGAAATACTATATTACACAAAATAGACATGCATTGTTACAAATCGCGCTTGGCCTATATCATGTATGCACTGTATTATATCCGAATGTACTCACCCGCTAATAAAAGCTGTTGGACATATAATATCAAGATTTTAACAATTACAGTAATAGTGATGTCTTTGCATGTTTTTGATGGCTCCTAAGTATCTAAGAGTTGGTCATTTTAATGCGGGTTCATTGGGTACAAGACATGAGGAGCTTATGGAAGTGGTAGAGAGACATAAAATAGATTTTATTTCTATCAACGAGACGTGGTTGAGAGAGGGTGAGGAGGGGAAAGCACCCGCATTGCCTGGTTACATTTTAAAGCACATCCCCCGTTCGGCAACAGTCAAGCGTGGTAGAGGCGGTGGGATCGGCTTTTATATCAAGCGGGAAGTTACTGCTCGCAGACACTCACACCCCGTGGACTCATTACACTCCTCAGTGGAGCAAATGTGGTTTACTACCAGCGTGAATGGAATTAAACTAGCTATAGGAACTGCATACCGACCTCCCTGGCTGGATGTAGACCTGTTTCTGGACGCTCTCACGTTTTCTGTGAACTCTCTGGCTCATTGCGACGGAATGGTACTGATGGGTGATTTTAATATTAACATGTTAAATGAATCCGACGCTAAGACCGACAAACTGAAAACATTCTTAAGCTATCTAAGTTTAAAACAAATAATAGATACACCTACGAATTTCACACTTAATAGCAAGACACTGATAGATGTTGTTTGCACTGATGTAGAGGTTCAGTCGTTTTCGGTGGAGTACATTCCCGACCTTGGGACCCACGCATTCTTGATCTGCGATCTCCATATAAAAATGGATAAAGCAGCGCCACAAACTATATCGTTTCGCCCATTAAAAAGCATATGTAGGAAAAACTTTGACGAAGACATCTCGCGTCTTGATTGGCACAGTATAACAATACTGTCAAGCGTGAATGAAATGGTGACATGTTTCAATGCTAATATCAATACTTTATTTGACTATCATGCACCCAAAACTACAAGAAAAATCAAGGAGCGGTCGCATCCATGGGTTACTGACAATATAAAATATATGATGGTTTTAAGAAACAATGCACATAATCAATTTTTAAAACATAAAACAGAGAGTAAAAAACAATATTAAAAACAACTTAAATCACTTGTAAAAGAATCGCTGCATAATGAAAAAATAGCCTACTACAAAAACAATGTAACAAAAAAAAAATGACCCTAGGACTTTATGGAAAAGCTTGAAATTAACTTTAGTACCACCAAAAAGCAACATGTACCTACCGTCACACTTTAATGACCCAGATAAAATATGCGACTTCTTCATGAATGTCCCGGGGAAGGAAGTATATATCTGACCTTATGTCCTACGAGTATTCGCGCTTTAGTGAAGCAACATTTACACTGGAATCGGTTCCATGGACTTCGGTCGCTAAAACCCTCCAAGGTCTTAAGTCTAACGCTGAAGGTAATGACGGGATTAGTTTAGATATGGTGCTCCTCACTATGCCACTGGCGATAGAGGCTGTTACCAGCATCGTCAATAAATCTATTCAAACATCTTCTTATCCGGAACTGTGGAAAACCGCCGTAATACGCCCACTACCAAAAAATAGCTCACCAACGGATATGAAAGATTTGCGACCGATTAGTATACTTCCCGTTCTTTCAAAGGTGTTGGAGAAAATCGTTAGTTCCCAGCTCGTAAAGTATTTAGAGAAAAATAACATTCTCCCTGATACGCAATCGGGTTTTAGAAAAGCTCGTAGTACAACCACTACCTTATTGGCAGTGACGGACGATATCCTGTCAGCACAGGACGCCGGCATGTGTACGCTGCTGGTGTTATTGGACTACTCTCGCGCCTTTGACTCCATCAATGTTCCACTGCTGCTGTCGAAGATGGCTTACTACGGCTTTGATGGGGGAGCTATTAAATGGTTTGATAGCTACTTAGGTGGTCGCTCTCAATACGTTGAGATCAAGCAAATAAATGGAAACACAATATGCTCTAGCTCGAGATCTGTAACTAGAGGCGTGCCCCAGGGATCAATATTGGGACCTATTTTATTTATTATGTACTGTTCCGATGTGGGTCGGCAGCTGCGTCATTGCAAGTACCATATGTATGCAGATGATACACAGGTCTATATATCGTTCAAGCCCCCGGACTACGAAACAGCACTTCAAAAATTAAACGAAGATCTAAATAGAATTGTCGATTGGTCTGCTCGCAATTCTCTTGTGCTCAATCCGCTGAAAACAAAATATATGCTGTTTGGCACCAAATCCCAGCTAGGTGCCATCCCACGAAAAACACGTCCTGTTGAAGTAATGGGCGTGCCGATTGAGCGAGTTTATGAAGTTCGTAACTTGGGGATAATAATGGACGCTGACTTGAGGTTTGAGAACCACATCTCGAGAGCTGTTCGTGACTGTTTCTATAAACTAAAGGTCTGGTACAGGGCGCGGCCATTTATAGGTGAAGAGCTGCGAATACTTTTGGTGGAGAGCCTCGTCTTATCTCGACTAAACTATGCAGACACTGTATACGGTCCTTGACTCTTTTCTAGAACAGAACGCCTGATACAAAGACTTCAAAACGCTTGTGCCAGGTTCTGTTTTACCGTACCCAAAAGGGGTCATGTCACCCCTTTTTTTAATAAGCGCAACATTTTAAAAATGCATGCGCGTCGAAGGCTTTATATGGCAAGTCTCCTATTTGGCGTAATTAACTTCCGTACACCGTCCTATTTATTTAACAAGTTGAAGTGGACATTTAGGCACAACCAAAATATGAGTAGAGAATGCTCATCGCAGCTTTCAATACCTCATCATAGGACAACTGCCTTTAAGGGTAGTTTTCGTTACTCTGCGTCGAAATGCTGGAATAATAGCCCTCCTCCAATAAAAAGAAGACCAAGTGCGTATTCTTTCAAAACGAAATTGAAGGAATTCTTACTGGAGCATCAGAAGGATTTCGAAGACGTCAGAGTAACTCTTAGCGTGATATAAAATGGAGTGCGTGCCATGACCTTGGATGCCGTGCTGTGCCGTATCTCACCTTATTTTATTAACAACTAGAAATTATTATATCTTTACTATCATGGTCATAATGTCTTAATTCAATCAAATTGTTATCCAATTAGTACTCATTATATATTTAAATGTTTTCCTATTAATCAAGTTATTATGCAATCACTATCGTTCTCGGAATATTCTCAAACCAATATCTCTTTACAGCATGCTATACTAGACTATCATAATGATCGAATATTTATTCTATCTAAGAGACACGCGGACAACACCCCTGCGCTGCGCTGAAAACCAGCGCTAGGTGCATTGCGCCTAGCATTATGCTGAGTCGTGGTCCATATTGGTACAGATGTATTAAATATGTAACTTGTAAATATGTAACAATCCAAAATGTGCCAATTAAAGTATTTTTCTTTCTCTTTCTTTCATTCAATATGCAGGGGTAGAAAGGATTGGCTACAGAAATTCCCCTGGACAGCCTTGGCATGAGACCAGAATGTACGAGTTCCAAAAGGAAGTCTCACTAGTCCTTTACCGATCCGGCTGATGTGCTCCGATTTCGCCCTAGCAATGACTCTTTTAAGGGACCTGGAGGCAAAGTTATATTGTTTTTTAACGTATTTACACCGTCTGCCGTCGCTGCATTTTCCTATGCTTGGTAGCATTCCCGAACTGTTGAACCAGGGCTTGGATCTGCCTTGGCTTGGGCTTGGAACTAATATAAATCATTTTAATAAAAAAGTTGAACCGACTTCAAACAATATTTGCGGTTGATTTGCTGTCATTTTTTAAAGAATTCCGTTGTCAGGCTCCGAAAATCATCATCAGACCTATGTGAAATTTAAATGGGATCATGCTGGAATAAACCCCTTTTGAACAAAAAAGAATATTGAAAATCCGTTTACATACGACAGAGTTATGCCCCAACAACACAATAAATAAATAAATAAACATACATAAAAAGATTTGAACATCCGAATTGATAACCTCATCCTTTTTGAAGTCGGTTATAAATAGTTGAAACAATAAGACTCGTATATAAATGCGGAGCAAGCCTGCCAATTATAAAATGGGTGGATTTTTTTTCCTTACTAACGTGAAATAGTGAGAGCATTTAGTAAAATAATCTTTGTCAAATTTTCAGAAGTTCTGATTTTGAATCATGACTTAAAATGAGCCTGTGAGTTAGTTTCACATCATCAACAGCCTATGATAGCCCACTGCTGGACATAGGCCTCTCCTTAGGAAGGAGGTTTTGGCTACCATACCACGCTGGCCAGACGGGTTGGTATAGGATTTGTTTCAAGTTTTCCTTCCCTTTTGCAGTGCTGTTTTCTTGCGTAGTTTTCTCCCTCAGCCGACTTTTGCGACACCCACGGGATGAATAGGGGTGGTGACATTACGTATTCTTAATCACCACACGGATAAACGGAGTTAGTTTAAGCTTGTAGATATTATTAATGGATAGCAACCTTACAACAAAACCGAAAAAAATATATTGATGTCTTTTGATATGGCGGTGCAAAACAATCACAATTCTTTAAGTTGGATTCTATGATAATAACATCAATAAGCATTGTACTTCTTATACAAATAGTCTTTCTCAAAAAGATATATAGGCGAAAGATATTATTAAAATGTACAATATAGTCACTAAAATTGTATTTATAGTAACTATTCAATTCTACGAGTAAGTATGCATTGGTTTCAAAAGATTTTTATTAGATAAGATTAAGGTTTTATTTGTGGGACATGTTGTCCGTCTGGAATCTCTTGTTAAAACTGTTTATATTATTACTAATTGCATTTAAATATATTTGGAATGCCATTTTAATTTTCTTTATTTTGATTCCCTACGCGATTTGGTTAATTGTTTTTTTATTTACGTGTTACTGTTTCGTTACGTTACGTTATTTGAGTTTTCAAGTTCAGAAAAGTTCTTAAGACGAACGTAACAATACCTTAAGTGTAAAAATCCATCCAGCCATTTGGAAGATACGAAGTTATTAAGAAATTTACAAATAGACATACAAGACACACGCGAAAAATATAACCCTTCCTTGGCATTCCGCTAAAAAATAAAATGCTAAAAAAATCTTTGTATCGTCAATAAATTGTCAAAAGCAAAATGGCTGTATCTAGATCGAAACAAAAAATTAAAAGGTTATCCCGTTCACATAAAATAATTTATAAAACTTAGAAAAAAAACCTTTTAGATTTTTCCTTTTAGTCGGTTAAAAAAAACACAGAGGCAAAAAGAGAGAAGAAACAGATTGAAAGCTAGTTTATATTCCCTACCCGTTCTAGAAGTTCTCTCACACATAAAATAATAACGACATACGAATAATAACGACATACGCTCCGTTTTCTAGAATGGAATTGATGTATCTCTTTCAACTGTAATTCTTGACATAAACTTGTGCTTTTTACATAACATTTAGTGATACACAGGAAACAAATCTTCTGAAGATTAATTGATTAAAAATACTCTATTGTGTCACAATTTGTAAGAATTTTAAGAATGAATCTCAAAGGTAGCTGTTAGATCAGATTAATGCTTACAAGCCTATAAAAATAAATACAACTCTTGGTTATGGTTGAAATACATTTTGCAGAGTGTGTGCAATTGTTAGCGTTTCTGTAAAACAGAAACCTCTTTGTACCTTATCAGTTCCTAGTCACAGAAACTCGTGATTGCGTTGATGTACCCAATGTACCTATGTTTTTTTAATACCTTCTTACACAGTCCTTGAAATAAATACATAGACTTTATCTTAAAAAGAGCGACTTTATTTAAAATGCAACTTATCCTAAACATGTAATCTTAAAGCTCAGATATAATTACTCCTTTCTGTAACATCACCAGTGCACAATTCAATATTATTCAGATGTTTGACGCAGGTTTAGGTTACAATACTCTATCACCACAGTCATCTATCCCCGAGCCGAAGAGTAGCAAAAAAGTTGTAAAAAGCATCTAATTTACAGGACTGAAGCACTGGTGATACAGAACACGAATACGAAACTGCGCCATCGCTCAATGCACTCACGTCGTATAGTGAAAGAGTTAACTTTAAATCAATTTATATCTTAAAGTTAACTAACAAATACAGTCCTGCCTGTATTCCCGAAGTGGTATACATGTACTTATTTCTGTTACCTATATGATGGTCCCAATCAACTAATACGGAGCAAGCATGTAACCAGACATTTTAAGAACTACTGCTGGGCAAATTTGTGGTACATTTGAAGGGATAGTTAATTGGGAAAGAAAGGAAATTAAGTCTTTTATGACAAAGATATTCATAGATTGTCCAAAGTTTAAGTTGGTTTAAAAAAAAAACATTCAAATTGGCGCAACAAGTAACTTCATTTGCTCATGCTAACTTTTATTCATTGACATTCACGAGTTTGATAACTCTCGTACAATGTGTAGGTATATGAAAACGCAATCACGCGTGCCTATCACTAGGAACGGATGAGCCACAAAGAGGTTTCTGATTCAGTGAAAAACTAGAAATTGAATATACTCTCCAAAACATATTTCAACTATATCTCCAAAGACAAAACTACAAATTTGCAAGGAAACATACACAGGCTTTTTAGTATTAAGTATGAATCTGTTGAAACATCTACCTTTGAAATTCTTTCGTTAAACTCTTACACATATGACACAATAGAATCGATTGTTTAAAATTAATTCATCTACATAAAATGTGTTTCCTGTTTAAACTGGAAAAACAACAAAAACTTAAAAAAGTTCCCCAGGCCAAAATAGTTTTTATCTTCTTCAATGTTAAAAATTAAACTGTTTAACATTAAAATTAAAATTGTTTCTTTTTCAGTAAACAATTTAAATTAAAACTGTTTTGAAATAGGTTTTCAGGTCTGTTAGAGTTAATGTTATGTAACGACTTCAATAAAAATACTGCCCAAATAATTTAATAATTATATACACGGTGATTTTGAAAGCGTTTTGGAAAATTTTGAATTATTTATCAGTAACAGAAGCTATATATAACGTTAATTTAATAAAATATATTATATAAATAAATTATTTTTTATCATCAAAGTCGATATTCATATCGTCTACAGAGAAAAAGTGAGAACCAGTAATAGGGCTATTCAATCACACATAGGTAAATACTACGAATAGAAATACTATGCGTTTTAATATCGTGTCACATAAAATCGTATTCGCATATGAAAACAAAGCTACCGAGTTGCGCCGGAGTCGTCCAACCAATGACGTCTGCCCCGTAGGCGCATGCGCGAGACTCACCTGTAATCGTGAGGCGTCCTTCGCTTTCAGTCGGTCAGTAATACTCGTACCATAACATCGTGACGGCACGCTACATTGATTAGCGCTAAAAGTAGTCGACAGTACGAATTTTCAAACGGGGAATACTTCTTGGCAATGGTACAGCTGTCCGCTACTGCCAACTACAACTTGGAAGAGGCTCGGCGTTTAAATGCACAATGGCTACGTGGAATTGAAAGCCCTCAAATTCCCTCCACACCTACCATCTTGGCTCCAACCCAACGTCTTCTCGACCACGGACAATTTCGTGCGCCTACTCACGCGCAAGGTCAAGGACGTTTAAATTATTATTCGCCGGAGTGTAGTGCGTGCATACCTGGACAATGAGTTTAGTGATCGGTGGATAGGTCGAGCAGGGCCAGTGTCTTGGCCACCTAGAAGCCCGGACTTAACGCCCCTGGATTTTAACTTATGGTCGGAAATAAAAGACTTGTTTATACACGGGAATATGAAAGCCGTCATAATTTACGCATTGCGATAGTGGACGCTTTTGATAAAGTGAAAAGTGATAGAGACACATTAAGAAAATTAAAAAACAATTGCATTAAACGTGGACGTTTGTATATTGAATACAGCGGACTCCATTTTGAGCAGTTGCTTCGATACAGAGAAGAGTAAATAGTGTAAATAGGTATGTAAGTTAATTATTCTGTAGATAGCTCCGATTTTTTAAATACGCCTGAAATATTTCTACCTGCAGTCCGTTGATAAATTGATTTGTTGTGAAAAGAACAATCGTGGTTAATAATCGAAAAGAAGTTTCAATAAAATAGGTATTTCCGACGGTCCTAAGCCCGTGTAAAGTATGAAGGACAAATTGGAGTCTGTCTACGTAAAGTATTCGCTAGCTCGCGCCTGTAGGTATACTTTTATCAGCTGCTGTTAGCGTCAGCGGTGCGCAGCGGCCGCCGAAACGTGTTTCATTCATATAAGATAATGAATGAATGATCAGTCCATTACTACTTTCCAAGTCGATCGAGTAAAAATGAATATTAAAACTATTGAAACTTTTTTTTGACAACATTACAATTGATTTAATCACTTTTATTGGTACTATAGATGATTCTAAATTTAAATGTTTCGTTTCCAAAACGCCTATAAAATCACCGTGTATATTGTAGTATAAGTTAGTATTCACATCGTCATCATCATCACATCAAAAGCCATCAACAGTCCATTGCTGGACATAAGCCTCTCCTCAGAAAGGAGGTTTTAATTAAGTTAGTATTAAGTTCCGATATCTGTGTTATAATAATAATAATAATTTCACACATCTCACACACGGCCGTCTGATCCCAAACTAGGCAGAGCCTGTACTATGGTAATCAGACTGCTGATAAACATACTTATATATTTCTAAATACATACATAATATAGATAAATTACACCCAGACACAGAACAAATGATCGTGCTCATCACACAATTATTTGTCCTGGGTGGGAATCGCACCCACGACCTCCGGCTTAGCAGTCACTAACCACTAGACCAACAGGCCCGTCGATTATTGTGAGGTCAGTCGGGAATAAATTGTCAGTACAGTACAGTACAGACGTGTTTTATTACGAACACCACAGTGGCGACGAGGCGGGTTTGCACGTTAGAAAAAAATATTGTAAAATAACATTATTGTTTGTCGGTGGAGCATCGTCTTCGTACGAAATACTAGAAATGTTCTTTCTATTAAATGGAATCAAGACTGAGATGAAACCACCACCCACTTTAGTTGCAGTAATGGGGATGAAACTTACGAATTCCTGGAAAATTTTATGAAACCAGCACAATTATCATATGAAAAAGCAGTGAAGTTATTAAAAGATCATTTACAACTCGCACCATCAGCCTTAGCGGAACGGTATCACTTTAGACAATGGAGGCAGAATTGTGAAGAAAACATTGCTAATTACGTGGCAGGATTAAAGAAGCTAGCGGAAGCTAGTGCACATTTGACGGACACCGTAATGAGAACCTGAGAGATGAGTTTGTGTGCGGTATAAAAAAGCGACATAATTCGTTAAAGACTATTCGCGGAGAACGATTTGCTAAACGTATACGGACTCCGTAAAGATCGCTATTTCTTATGAAGCGGCGGAGCGGGACTCGGTCGCGGTTGAATCAACAGCGTCGATGGGCTTCGGAGGGGAAGCGGCGGAATGGCGCAAGTGCGGGTACACGCACTTAGAGTGCGCGCGCGAGCACCGCCAGCGCCGGGTGTGGCTAGCGGCGGCGACATGCGTAGCAGCATGCGAGGCAGCGGTGGAGGCGCCGGGAGAACATCCCAATGCCAAGGGTGCGGGGGAGCGGACCACAGCTACGACACGTGTCGTTTCCGGAGCTACGTGTGCCGCCATTGCAAGCGTACGGTACACCTTCGCCGCAGCACGCTTCGTGCCCGCAGCACACTTGGCGCACAATAGCGGCGGTTATCCACTGCGGTACTTGGGCGAGGGCTCCCACGAAGGTTAAGCCACTGGGCATGATAATCCAACTGTGAAATACGAAAACTATTCCAAACAATTAGAGTTACTGGTAATCGAAGGGGGAACTACTTTGGTTATCCGAGTTAAAAGTTAAAATGCCTAATTTCAGTAAATTTAGTAATGTTAATTATGTAAGTAACGAAATGTCGAAAAAAATAAATGTTTTGTAAATATAAATAAAAATATAATATATATAAATAAATAATATAAATAATTGTCGGTCTGGGCGGGTCACGAACGGCTAGGCGAAGCTACGAGTGCGCGAGGGAGCACAGCCATTTTTCTGCCGCACGCGATTACTGCCGTACGCGCAGCGTGTGGAACACTCCGATTAGGCCTCTAGTGCTCTTGTGCCAGTAAGCAAAGCTGGCGGTTCATTGTGAATTTGTGCAGATTATGAAAGTACTCTGAATCCGGTATTATTAATCGATAGATACCCGCTGCCTAAAATCAAGGATGTAATTGTAAATTTAAATGGGGCGCGAATTATTTTTCGAAGATCGATTTATTACAGGCTTATAATCAGGTCGAACTAGATGATTCAAAACAATATACGATTATAAATACACACCGCGGTTTGTTTAGGTATTATAGGCTAGTTTTTCGACTGGCCTCCAGCCCGGCCATTTGCCAAAGGATTATGTGCAATTTATTGAAGGATATTCCGAACGTCGAGGTATTCCTTTATGACGTCATAAGTATAGGAAAATCGGAGCCTGAACATTAACGGCTTTAGAGGCGGTTTTTAGAAGGCTGTTGAAATTTGGATTGAAATTAAAAAGTACAGTGTGTATTTTAGTGAATGAGGTGCGATATTTAGGGTATATTATCAGTACAGAGGGAGTTAAAGCGAATCCTTCAAAAATCTAGATTATAATAGGTATTCCAACATCGACAAATACCACGGAATTAAGATCTTTCCTAGGTCTAATGAACTTTAATGCAAAGTTGAGCAATAGCAATAGATTAGCACCGTTGTATGAGTTACTTCAAACAAATTAAAAAAATATTATCTAGTGCGGAAGTGTTGGCTCCGTACGATCTTAAGAAACCGGTTATTGTAACGTGCTGTTACGCGAGTCTCGACAAAGGGAGTTTAAAAAAAAGAATTTGGTAATGTGACACTGGATTTAATAGATATTATATCAACACAAACAAGGTCACAAGGTCTTAAATTAAACTTAGGCTATCGGAGCCTTTTGGCAGCCGTCCGTTGGGTCTCGGGATCAGATCGATACTGAAATACAAAATAGCATGCTCCTTCGTCTTGACGACGAGGAGTTTACTCAGCACTTGGTGTGCATGTTCCTATACAGGGGCCAGGCATAACAACCCGATTAAGTCTAAACTTAGGCGTTAAAAATAACGAAGTTTATGATTTACCTGTTGTCTTCTTATTTTAATGATTACTTAAATCGTAGTTCTGAGTCTAGGCAATGCTGAGATTTCTATTACATCTAATTTAACAGGTTGTTGAACCTCAGGGTTAGCTTTGGTTCTTCAAAAATATTCGACTAGGCCAGGTGAAGTAAATCTAGTTAACTTAGGTAGTCGTACAGTAAACAACTTTTACATTTCACTGAGTTAAATAAATGCTTTTTGTTGGTAAAACCGAAAATTAAAGTGTTAATAAACGTGAATATCAATAGTGTAAAGTGTAAACTTTATAAATTCGTTAAAAAGTAATTGAATTTCGAATGGTAAAAGGCTTAAACGATAACATAAAAACTGTTATTCCTTGTAATTTGAACTTAAAAGTTATAGGATCACCGTTCGCCTTCGATACAGTGCACTGTGCCCGCAAATAGTGTTAAAACTCGTAAGTGCCGCGATTACCACGGCGCGTACGACCTTTTTCTCGTCGACTCGCATTGAAGCATTGGGGCGGAGGCGGCCCTAAGCTGGACTGTAGCAATTATCGACACTGTTTGTTGAAGTGACGGCGTTCGTTAAGTTGGAGTGTTACCCGCTCGTAGACTATTAACTTAACGTTACTACCTTACTTTTAATATGACCAAATGGGGTTGTTGCAGCGGTATCGGTGGGCAAGCCGAAGAATACATCGACTGTAGAATCTGCAAAAAATCTTTACATTATGCTTGTCTTTCCATTGATGTAATATCTGAGAAAGAAATTATAAATAATTGGAGATGCCCGCAATGCTCAAATAATACTCAAAAAAATGTGAAGAAAGATTCTACCCCGATTCGTAATGTTACCATAGGAAGAGGAAGTAAAAGACCTGCTTATACCTCCCCGCCCACGGTTGAACCCGTGACCAGGGAAGATGTTCGCGAGATCGTGCAAAATGTCATTAGATGTGAGATTGGTAGTATGTTGAAAGAACTGAGCGAGAACTTAATTGGAATAATCCACAAGGAAATTAAACCGGTTCAAGCAGAGATGGCAGCGTTAAAGGAATCCATGGATTATATGAATAAGCGATTCGATGACATCGAAAGAGACCCAGAAAATGTGTTAAAAACCCATAATGAGCTTCAGGCTGAAAATAAAAAAATTAATACTACTATCATCGAGCTCAATAACTGCTTGGCATCGGCTGAGCAGCGTCTTAATTCCCTAGATCAACAGCTAAGAAGCAATAATGTAGAACTACAATGCATTCCCGAAAATAAAAACGAAAATCTCAATAATATTGTTATGAAGCTGGCTTCCGTCGTTGGATTAGCTATAAAAGAAGAGGACATCGTTCGCTGCACACGTACTGCTAAAATAACTCCTTCCAGTACTCGTCCACGCTCCATTGTAGTGCAGTTCGTCTTATCTATGGTTCGGGATAAAGTTCTTGCCTATACAATAAATTACAACAAAACTAACAACCAAGACAAACTGAATAGCTCACTGCTTGGATTTGGTGGTAAACAAAATCCCATTTACGTGTCAGAACACCTCTCACCTGCAAACAAGGCTTTGCACGCAGCCACCAGGATCAAGGCCAAAGAAAAAGGTTTTAAGTATGTGTGGGTTCGCTCGGGAAAAATCTTTGTCCGGAAAAGTGATGACAGTGCTAGTATTCAAGTTAGGAATATAGACTATCTCAAAAAACTGTAAAAATAATGTTATTAGGGTGCTTACCCACTTCCCTACTTTTTCGCATGTGTTTAGGTATATTTCGTTATTACATTCACTTTATCTATGTACTTTCAAAATTGCAGAGGTCTGCGAACCAAAACACTTGCCTTTTATCGAAATGTTTGCTGTAATAATTTTGACATAATATGTTTAGTTGAAACTTGGTTGAATAGCTCAGTATCAAACGAGGAACTTTTTGATAATAGATATGATGTTTATCGTAGAGATAGGGAAAATACTGGTTTTGGTCGTGGAAAGGAGGGAGGAGGTGTACTCATCGCGGTTTTAAAAAAGCATAAATCTAAACGCTTGATGTATTGGGAGAGTAATTGCGAAGATGTATGGATCACTATTGATTCATTACGGCTTGCTTTATGTGCTGTCTATCTTCCTCCACCTGTGAACCGAGTGTCACTTGATCACTTTATATCGCACTGTAACTCTGTATTTGACCGAATAGACTTTAATTTCTGTATAATGGGTGACTTTAATCTGGGTAATATCAATTGGAAGGGATTAGACTCAGATGTTATTGGCAATGTCTTGCCATATACCTCTCAAACGCTTTTAGACTTTATTCATGTAAATAAGCTTTACCAGTGTAATCATATAACCAACACAGGTCGAGTACTTGATCTTGTACTCTGCACCTTACAATCCTGCTTAGTCAGTCATGCTATGACAACTCTCAGTAACACTGAAAAGGTGCATCCGCCTTTGGACATAATCATAACACTTACCGAAGACATAACTCTCTCCTACAATACAGAATTGTCAAAATTAAACTTTTTCAAAGCTGAATTCGATCTTATAAACAAGAAATTAAATAACATTAATTGGTCACAAAGATTTAAACCATTTGAAAACGTCGATGAAATGGTTTCAGATTTCTATGATATATTAAATACGCTAATTCAAGAGCACGTACCCCTTTGCAAACTAAAACATCAAAGATATCCCGTGTGGTTTAACAATAACCTTAAAAAGCTTTTAAATGAAAAAAATAAAATTAGAAAACTATATAAAAAGTACCATAACCCAATGGACAAAATAGAATTTAAACTACTTAGTAAGCGTTGTGAACGACTGGCCAATGATTGTTACAAGAATTACATGGATAAAGTGGAGGAACAGATAAAATATAACCCCAAGTCGTTTTGGAGTTTTGTCAAGGCCAAACGAGGTGGATGCAGTGTGTATCCAGCTCCTATGTCTGATGGATTAACTTCATCAGCAGATGCGCATGAAATCTGCGATTTTTTTGCAACCTACTTTTCTTCAGTTTACACTCATGACTCGGGTAATGTTTGTAGTGATCACGATCATGCGAACTTTCTTTGGGCCAACAGTCAGTATCTTACAGTTCCTTTAGTCCACCCCGAAAAATTATACAAAAAACTTAAATCACTAAATTGTAATAAAGGTGCGGGCCCTGACGGAATTCCCCCTAGATTTGTGGTAGCCTGTGCTTCTGCTCTGGCTAAGGCACTTTCTATTATTTACAATAAATCTCTAACCACTGGTGTATTCCCTATAAAGTGGAAAGTGGCCAAAGTTGTACCCATTCACAAATCGGAGGATAAAGACCTTGTATCAAACTACAGACCCATTTCTATTTTATCTGTATTTTCTAAAGTTCTAGAGACTTGTATAACTAAACCACTACAGGAACACCTGAAACTCTATCTTAGTCCGCATCAGCATGGGTTTATTGAATCAAGATCTACAAGCACGAATTTAGTATCCTTCGCGGAGTCCTTGGTGAGATCAGTCGATGCTGGATATCAATTTGACGTCATATACACTGATTTTGCCAAGGCCTTTGACAAGGTCTCTCATGGGATTCTATTACATAAATTGTCTATCTACGGTATATCTGGTTCATTAATGCGT